AAGAAAATAACTAACATTACCACATTATAAAATGCTTAACAAATCATTAGTTACAATACTAGAGAATACTACTATGAGCATGATTTTCAAATGTTTTAATTAATATGAAATTTTTTTTTAAAGGTGAAAGGTTCATCTCCCACAATCGAACTGTCGCCCTAGCACAGTTTGCCAAATATCTTCTTTATGGGATGATATGTTAATATAACGAACACTGATCAGTGGTAATAAACCAATACATATTAGCCTAATGGTAGGGTTATTTTTTTCGATGGTTTTGCCAACCATCTCATATGAGCGCTCTAGCAGTGTACTTTTGCTGTGGTTACCTCCTCAGGTGACTTCTGTTTCATTAGTCTCTAACTTTAGTGGTAACTGAAAGTTTGAAAATGTTGTTGAAACTTTCAACAACATTTTCAAACTTTCATAAACATACATTTACACATGAAAAAGAACATGTAGCCTACTTTTATTATAATATAGATGAATTATTATTTCAACATGTAATTAAAGATGTAGCTTTAAAATAAAACAATGAAATGATATAGGCCTACATCCCCCTTACATTTATAAACTCCTTGAGCATATTTTTATCATTATAGTGTAACTTAAAAAAAATACATTTTTTTAACTCCTAGAGCATACTTGTATTATTATATAGCTGCATTATTTAATGATGTAGATTTTATTTTAAAATATATATATATATACTTTATATTTTACCTTTTTTAAACTCTTCGAGCATGGCATCCAGCTTTGTATCATTGAAGACAAAATGCAGAGGGTGGCTGTAGAACTTGGTGATGGTTTTCAATGGCGTGCAGTCATCAGGATCCACAAAGGCCAGGTCCTTGACAAAGAGCAGGTCCACAATATGACATCTCTCGCCCTCATACACAGGAATGCGCGTGTAGCCGCTCTCCATGATCTCAGACATGGTGTTGAAGTCCAGGATGGCGTCACCGGCGATCATGAAGCAGTCTCGCAAAGGTGTCATGACATCCTCCACAGTTTTAGTCCTGAGCTCCAGAGCACCCTGGATGATGTTGAGCTCCTCTTTCACCAGGTCATTATACGGATCTGTCACCCTGAGCATCTCCAGCAGCTTCTCCCTGTTGTACACAGTGCCTATCTCCTGCCCGAGCACGTGGTCCAGGAGTTTACTGACGGGATAGGACGCAGGGAAAGTGAGGATCATGAAAAATTTAGTCAGGAATATTGTGTTTGCTCCCACGGCGAGCCCATGCCTGGAGCAGATGGCTTGTGGTACGATTTCTCCGAATATAACGATCCCTATAGTGGACACCACCACAGCGATCAGCCCCGATCCTGCGATGTCATCGAGCAGTATGGTCAAAGTGGTATTGACCAGAACATTTCCTAAAAGCAAAGAGCACAGAAGGTAGTTTCCTTGGCTTCGGACGGGCTCGATCTTCTTCGCGTAATTCTTCTCCTTCTCAGTCCCGCAGTTTTGGACAATCCGGAGCTCCATGGGATCCAGCGCCATCAGTCCCAGATTCAGCCCGCTGAACATGCCGGACAAACACAACAACATGGCAATAAAAATAACCTGCAGCCAGAAAGGCAGCAGGAACTTTTTCTCCTCCACCACGAGCACTTTAGTGTCATGCCCGTCGTGATAGAACCAGGTGTTCTCGGACCACGAGTCCTGCGCGCCAGGTGTCGTGGCGGCGATGCACAGGTAATACAATTTACTCTTCTCTGTTTTTCGCAGAGGCTTCACCTCTAGTTCAATAATCCCAGATGTCTTTCGGGTTACCTCCACGTTAGGAAGGATGATGATATCGGAGGATCGGATGCCACAGGGATGAGAGGCAGGTGCATCTCCGGGGCTCTGGCTCTCTGCAGGTGCGCTGCTGCTGCTGTGTTCCGTGAAGGCGAGTTTGGACCACGTCTCGTTGTTGATGTTTTGCCCATAGACCCTTAACCTGACACGAGATCGCTCGCTGACGCGCAGAATGCCTCTCTCCATAAACGACACCTCGCCGGTGTCCTCGAGCCGGATGCCAATGATGACAGTCTCTTCTGGCGCGTCTTTGCCATCAGTGCTACTGATCAGACAACTGCTGACAATTAAGAATATAACAGTCAATGATCTAGCCCGGTTCAGCGCCGCCATATTAGAAGTGGGCACTGCGGTCCATTGCTCTGCCATGTTGACAATGGGCAGGCTTTAGTCAATGAATGTAGGATGCCACAGTCAGAGGGAATCCGCGTCCGCCTTCATCCTCTCTATAGCCGTCCTGACATCAAGCAACAAGGCCGGCATTACTCACCGCGTATCGCTGCCTCTCTGCACCACGATGACACACCAACACGCTCTATGTGAACTGCTGTGAGTACAGATGCCTAATGACGGACGTTCGTTTTGACCAACCCGGTAGCGTATGCAAATTGAGCCCGGATGCATCCAATGACATCGCGCGAGATGTCGGAGGAGAGGCGGTGCTATCGGCCTTAAACCCGGTAGTGGGTGTTTCCAAAGACCAATCAGCGGGTAAAATGAGCAGTACCTAAAAGGTGGGAGTGGTCGCCGACGGCCAACTGTATCTCACCATTGAAAGTACTGGCCAAAACATCGCATTAACGTACTGAAATTTCGGGGTTAATTCTGAAGAAGAGAGAGAGAGAGAGAAAAAAAAACAGTTTGATGGTTTTACTAGTGTAAATCATATACAATAAATTAACCGAGCAGAGTAAAAAGATTCTCCTTGTATTTGCTTGTAAGCGCGTGTGCGTCTCTACCAGATAAACAAACTCGTAACGCCTTCTTCATGCGTTCAGTATGTCACATTCCAAAGTAAACAGTTTTGTGATGTTTCAGAAAATGAAAAAAGGAGGAAAATGAGGAAAGAGGAAAATTGGATACTCATATTTAGATTTTTTTATTAGATTTATTAGCTGTCACCTTTTGAATAGACTTTAAATTGGATATGAAAAAAATATATCTACTATATTTTTAATAGCTAAATTTAGAACTACATGATATACACACACACACACACACACACACACACACACACACACACACACACACACACACACACACACACACACACACACACACACACACACACACACACACACACAATTTTAAATGTAAACATTTCAAGTATTTTAATAAGTTTATTCACATAGAACGAAAACCACTAGTCCAAAACAAATTAATGAATAGAATTCCTTGCAGATGTAGAAAATAGCATTTACTACCGTAATCATTATAATACACCGGACACTGACCACCAAATAGGTAAACAAAATACAATACATATACATTATAACAAAATCCAGTTTAGTTATAATTAATTGTAGGCCTATTTTGTTTACCTATATGGTGGTAAAGTAAATGTCCGGGTATTATAATGCTTACGGTAATAAGCCTGTAAATGAGCGCGTATGCTTTTTGGCTTATTTCTCGTGTGCGGATATCCTTTTGTCATTTTTTGTTAAGTTTATTCACAAAATGAAATAGCACAAAACCGTCTTTGTAATCTCAAGATGTATATGGAAACCCTTTCAATTATGACAAAACTGAACCATAAAACAGTACAAATGTAAAACTGCTAAATAGGTTCATGCAAATACACATTACGTTTGAGTGGAGTTTAGTGCGCATCTTCTTGCTCTTTCCTGTTCCAGGAAACATTGTGACATTGACATTGTGTTGGAAAACTGTTTGTTTATGAATATATTGAATATGTACACAATAATATAGACTAAAAAATATTGAAAAACGATATCGTAACCTATTACCTTAATTTATAATAGGTCCGTCATTGCATCCTTGTAGTCACTAAAGCCTGCAAACCTGTAATCTCCCCAGACTATTTATTTATTTGCTCTATAATAATGTGTTTGGCTGCTGTTTTGCCTATAGAGGGAGCCAAAACCCTAACAATAACGCATTTTGACTAATCGACTTCCTTTTTCAAAATCAGTACCACCTGAACATAAATGACAGTCAAACTGAGCAACGTAAAATGTGCAAGAGGATGTTGCAGATTTGAAGGGCACAACACGAATACAACCATGCTTAGCTCTGTAAATATGTATAGTTTTCTTTATTATAGCCTAGTGTCATATTTAGAATAAAAACTGTTGTTTTGCATATATTGCTAAATTAATAAAGATAAAACTGATATGGAAATATTCTTAAATGGGCGATTATCATTGTGTGAAAAAGCAGTCAATGTTGCTCTTAGCGATTTCTATGGACATTCCACATAAATCAAAGTAAATAAAATTTTGTAAGCCTATTTATTAGCTCATAAGACATTATCCTTTTGAAAAACTCATTCTAATAGTAATGACTAAATCAAGACTTGCTTTTACACAAGCTCTTGGCAGGTGGCAAGACTACATTAATATAGACCTTGGTTACTGATAAGTTGAACTATGGGAGGTACAAAACATTCTTTCCAATTCAAGGTTGCATGATCCTGTGAGTATGAATGAGCAGATGTGCAAAGTGCAAGATCATTTAACAAGGACTTAAAATGAACTTGTATTTATTATAACTGTTGACATTGCATGACCAACTATTTTTTCTCAACACTTTTAAAAGGTTTTTTATAATTTTCTTGAATTACTCGTTTTATTAAAGTTATGTAACTGTCAACATATTATAAATGCAATTGTTACAATACAATGTGTTACTATTTTGGATCAGTATAGTTTTTGACCCTCACTTATATTTTGACTGAAATATATATATATATATATATATATATATGTGTGCACAAGTCTTGCAGATTAGAGTCAAAACTTTGTTGAAGTAGATAGTTATGCTCAAGGCCTCGCTCTTGGTCATGGACATCCATCTGCTTGCCCTTGCAGAGGAGCTGCTGATATTGCATGTGGGATAAACGTTATCATTTACCCCCGTGTTGGACTTTCAACAAAGGACACATTTCATCCATTTGCCATAGTTTTCCACATAAAGTTGCTCCAAGATTACACACAATAAAGAATTAGCAAAATGTGAAGAAACAATTATTTGTGCCATTTTATACAATATATTCAAATATAGCGCAACAATAACAAATAAATTAACAAGAAAATACAATTTGTACAGTTGGTGTACAATGAATTCAAGATCTAAAAGTCTAAAAGCAAATGTTCTTACACAAATGTATGCTTAAAAGATGAGACAAAAACAGTGCAACCTGTTTTGACATTGTACTATCATTTCAAAAAGACAAATATGAATACTGGAAATAGTCTTTCACAGAAAATCCTTCACTTGAAGGTCTTATGCATGTTTTGCATGAGCATCCAGAAGCAGGCCATAAAAACAGAAGAGGATGATGACCTGTGCATTTTCTAAAAGAGCAATCTGCTATGAAATGAGCCATCAGTGCAGTCTCAAATTATGTGATCTACTGTTAAAAAAAATCAATGAAAGACCAGAGTATAGGCTATATCCACAGCTTGATGTTAGAAGAGCTCCATTACTTCATCAAGTGTCTTAGCTGGTCCTGCAGGTTTTTGGAGTGTTCTACACTGTGAAAGACATTAAAGATGAAGAGTTATTGAAAGTAATTTTGTATAGATTTTAATTATGTAGGCTAAATATAATGACTTACTTCTTTTGAATGGCTTCTTGCCTGGATTTAAGAGGTAAATAAATATATTAGACAGACTCTCTCTTGTATTTAGGAATTTATTTTGGGATTTAGGCTACATAGAGACAAAAAAGGTTAACTTAATTTTGTAACGAAATTCATACTGATGCCATCGTTTTCTAGTTTTACAACTATTTTACGCATTTACAGCCTTAGGGTCTAAAGGTGTTTATTAAAAAAATCACAAGTTACATGAGTGTGTCCAAACCTTTGACTGGTAGTGTACAAGATGATAATGGAGATAAATGCAGTATGCAATACACATATACTTACTGATATTGCAAGTGGGTCGTTATAATAGACATTTTCCGTAGACTCTGTAAGAATAAAGATGCTTGAAGAAGTTAAATCTGCTTTACTAAAGATGAAATAATAATAATAAACCAAAATATAATAATTAAGCTTTTATATCACATACATCTTCAGAATGCAGAATGGCATCTTCTTGAATTACCATATTTCTCGCTGCCTGACTGAGTAGCTGTAAAGTAGAACAAGGGACCGATGCAAATATGAATATGAATCCTAAAACCCAGTTTCTAGACAGCATGTCTAGAATCATATGCCACCGAATATTTGGGCCTATGCTATCCAAAAATGTTGTCTAGGCAGCGTAATAAGTTGAGGCTCGCCTCCGGTGTTTATTGCTATGAGAGGGAAACAGTTACAGAAACAATATGGCGTTAGAAAACGTTTCGTATATTTACTTCTTGGCTCCGGGATCCTTTCAACACTTGACGGGTTAGAGCGATCACATCTCCACTGCAAGAAGTGACTTTATCAGACAATAAACCTTTAACAGATTGACCGAAACGCGACTGTGTCTCGGAGGAAGCCATCACTGTTTACTACGGGTCCTGGAGAGGGACAAATTAAAATGTGAACGCGAATGACACAGTCTTTGACGACACTTGCGAGAGGATAGGTTTTTAAAATTATATCTAAATAGAGAGCTCTTCCGATCAAGTCGAGTAAAGTCACGCATATCACAGTTTATTTGGTACAATTAGCCTATTTTTGTGTTGTGAAACCAATCAAATATAATCAATTATTTAACATACAAAATAATTATACGTGGCAAATTTAAAAAAACATCCTATTATATGTCAATACTGTCTGTGTTACTCGAGTTATTGTGAGGAAAAAATATTATTTTAAGATTTTATTATTCATTAATATATTACGTTTATAAACCAACAAATAGACTAAACTAAAACTAATTCTAGTTATTTTTTAGTTACTCATTTTGTTAATTTTAATGCTTATTTAATGTTATTGGCATAATGTTATTGAAAGCCCTATAGAAAATTAACAGAAAACAAGACATCTTCAAGACAAGTCCATATAAAGTTTAGTTTCAGCTATGTTCATTTTCTAAAGTTTAACCACCTCCTTGCTTGACCATTTATAAAAATAAATAAATACATTAAAGATTTGTTCAAGATTTTGTGGGGATTTTGACTAAATGCAATACATTTTCTCATAGGCTATTCTCTCGTTATTTCATCTGACTCCATACATGAAAAGGTTTTTTAATGATATCTGTGCATCATTAAATATAAGCGAATGTTTGACTATTCCTTTTAATTTTTTAATGAAAATAATGTCAGACTGTTAGAATAAAATCAACTGTTTACAATTTATTATGTCCGGTAATTTCATAATCAGTTCAAAAAGAATCAATACAAAACATCAAATGCTCTGGAATAAAGAGAAGATATATGAACCCGACATTAGGAAATACATGATGCTGAGAGTCCCGGCGGCTCTCAGCATTCACGGGCTGATCTGGGGTAGGACCAGAGCCCCTTGCTACATTTCATTATATAGACAGAAACTTCTTTCACATAGAAACATGTGCTAACAATTATGGATATTTGCATTCAGAGGCTACACCTTTTGGGGGTATAGAGACCATTTGTCTCCTTTTGTAGAGACCACATTCCTTTGTGTGCCAGTTATCTCTAAACTCTTTAAAACCTTATTACCTTTTGTTTGACTTATTTTGGAATGAGACACTTGTACCAGTCACACTCAATTTCAAATGATACCAAACATGTATAAAACTCTATGATAATTGTTCACATTAAAACCATATATTTAGGTGAGACTTTTGTCTCAAATGGTGAGTTCAAATGGTAATTTCCAGCAAGGTCCTTTGTCTTCTCGAGGAGTGGTCGTTCCTCAAACAGTTCTCAGTCTTACAGATCCAATCAGCAGCTTTGTTGAAAACAGCCCCGATGACACTTAGATAGATGAAGCTAAACTATTTCAGGGTCAGGGAGGTGGCATTGAAGATTTTGCATAAAAGTCTCCTTCGGCTTGCACACATGGGCAGTGCTGTTTTGGATATAGAGCTGGTGGACAACTTGGTTGAATGTATACTGACAATGTCTGAACCACTCATCCTGCCATGGCTTCTCTGTTCATGTCTGTTATCTGCAGTAACTCTGGCTGCGCTGTATCTCAAAAGGAAGATGAATGGATTTGTGCCAGGGAACAGATCTCCTCCAAGCCTCCCCTCGTTGCCCATCATTGGGAGTCTCCTCAGCCTTGTGAGCGACAGTCCTCCACACATCTTCTTTCAACAACTGCAGCAGAAATATGGAGATATTTATTCCCTCATGATGGGCTCCCACAAAATCCTTATTGTGAACAACCACCATCATGCAAAAGAGGTCCTGATCAAAAAAGGAAAAATATTTGCAGGGAGGCCACGAACTGTAAGTAAACTGCTTTAAATCACTTTCATCAGCAACTGAATTATACTGCACTTTTAAAAAAAATGTTGTTTCAATTAAAAAAGTTAGTGTTCATGCTGCCTTAAAATTTTAAGTTTAGTCAACTCTAATATCAAAATTGTCACTTAGTACAACTTCACATTTCAAGGTGACTAAACTTATTTTTTTTTAATTTTACAGTGTAATAAGATGAGTATGAGTTTTTTTTTTTTAAATGAGGCTTTTTATAATTATCTTAAAGGTTACAACAGACTTGTTAACTCGAGATGGGAAAGATATAGCATTTGCTGACTACAGTTCCACATGGAAGTTCCATCGGAAAATGGTTCATGGAGCTCTTTGTATGTTTGGTGAAGGTTCAGTTTCTATTGAGAAGATAAGTGAGTACTGCAGCTAGCAGCCGACATGATATTATACAAATATGAAAAGAATATATAAAATATGTATTTTACAGAACCTGCTACTCAATTCTTCTTCTAAAGTTTGCAGGGAGGCGGGCTCTATGTGTGAAGTGTTGACTGAAACCCAGAACAGCGCTGTGGATCTGGCACCGGAGCTGACCCGTGCCGTCACAAACGTGGTGTGTGCTTTGTGTTTCAACTCCTCATACAAACGTGGAGATGCTGAGTTTGAGTCCATGCTCCAGTACAGCCAGGGTATCGTGGATACAGTTGCTAAGGACAGCTTGGTGGATACTTTCCCATGGCTGCAGGTGAGATTTAATTCAATATGTGTCTTATAGAAGAATTATCAATTTACACTATGCAAAAGTTTGGGGTCGGAAAAGATTTTCTAATGTTTAAGTCTGTAAGTCTTTTATACTCACGAAGGCTGCATTTATTTGATCAAATGGAAAACAGTAATATTATGAAGTTTTATTACAATTTTAAAAAACTGTTTATATTTTAATATAATTGAATATATAGGCTAATTTACTCCTGTGATGGCAAAGCTGATTTTCGGCATCATTAATCCAATCATTTTGGGTTCCCCAAACAAAAGTTCTTATAAAAAAAGAACCATATTTTCTTAGTGTAAAGAACATTTTAATATAATAGAATAAAATGTATATAATTTTAATGTAACTAATCAGACTCCACTATAAAGAACCTTTTGTGGAATGGGAAGGTTCCATGGGTTTAAAAAGTTTTTCATGGAACCATCAATGCTAATAAAGAACCTTTATTTTTAAGAGCGAAGAAAGTTTAAACGAACAGCATTTATTTGAAATAAATCTTTTGTAATATTTTAATGATTAATAAACATATTCATTTCTTTAAACTTACTGACCCCAGACTTTTGAACAGTAGTGTGCATATTAAAGTTATGACACTCAGATGTTACAACTGGTTTGTTAACTAAAATGTATTAAAAATCATAACTATGTATTCCTTCCTTCAAGATATTCCCAAATAAAGAACTCAAAATCTTAAGACAGTGTGTTTCCATCAGAGACAATTTGCTTCAAAAGAAATATGAGGAACACAAGGTAAAATAGAAATACAAAATATTCTGTGTAGTCTGTAACTAACATGATATCATAAAAGCTGCATGAATAATAATTATAAGACAGTTTTAGTGCCTCGAAACAGCAGTTTTCATTCAAGTCCATTTAGAGAAAAAGCCTCGCTCAATTCCCTGGGATTTGTCTCCCTCTACAGGTGGATTACAGTGATAACGTCCAGCGGGACCTCTTGGATGCACTTCTGAGGGCCAAACGTAGTTCAGAGAATAACAACACCAGCTCTCACGATGTTGGTTTAACTGAAGACCACCTGCTCATGACTGTGGGGGACATCTTCGGGGCAGGGGTGGAAACCACGAGCACTGTACTGAAATGGTCAATAGCATACCTTGTCCATTTTCCACAGGTAAATAAAGCTGCTCACAGTCACAGCTGAGCTGGCTGTACTGAATTAATTAATATTTTCTTGTAATGAAACATTGCATTTGACATTAGGTGCAGAGAAAGATTCAGGAGGAGCTAGACAATAAGATTGGAAAAGACAGACACCCTCAGCTCAGTGATAGAGGGAATTTGCCTTATCTAGAGGCCACTATAAGAGAAGTCCTGAGAATCCGACCCGTCTCCCCACTCCTCATCCCTCATGTGGCGCTCCAAGACTCCAGGTAATAACACTACGATTTAATAGTTATAAAAATAATAATACTTTTATTCAGAAAGAATGCATTTCATTGATCTAAAGTGACAGTAAAGACATGTAGCTATAATGTTACAAAAGATTTCAAAAAAAACTTTTGATGAATAGAAAGTTCAAAAGAATCCGTGATAATAAGAAATGTTTCTTGAGCTGCAAATCAGCATATTAGAATGATTTCTGAAGGATCATGTGACACTGAATATTTCTAACATGCAGTCAAACATGACACTCAACAAACCTAGACAGTTCAGATATTTCATGTGTTCTAGCTCAAACACACCTGGTGCAACTAATGAAGCCCTTGATTAGTTGCATTGGGTGTTCTTGAGAAAAACACCCGTTTTGAAGATCTGTGCTGTTGTGAAGGATTCTATTCAGGGGGTTGAATAATTTTGAAACTGTAGAAGTCATTAAAAGTTTCATTTTCAGTTGAATTTAGGGAAACCACTTGAAACATTTATTGTGTTGAGCTATTTCATTTACTTTTGTTCGATTTGTTCATTGCAAACAGCTGAAAGTCTAAATTTGCCAATAAAACTGATTTACAATTACAACTGTATATTAAATGTGTGTGTATATATATATATAGATATATATATATATATAATTTAATATTTATTTTTGATGTTTATTTAATGATCATTGTTTGAAACACCCACTTTTAAACGTATTTAACCCCATTGAACCCTAACCCTATTGAAAATGAAGAGAAAACTAAACTGTTCACATAAAATACTGTAGAGTCCTGATTTCTTCTCTGCTCACTTGTAGTGTGGGAGAATACACTGTGCAGAAAGGGACCAGAGTCATTATTAATCTGTGGTCTTTACATCATGATGAGAAGGAATGGAAGAATCCTGAGCTATTTGACCCAGGTGAGAATCTGCAATGACATCTAAAATTTGTGTGTGTCTGTGAAAGTTACCAAAACAGTGCATCTTCTGACAGGACGATTTCTGAACGAGGAGGGTGATGGTTTGGGCTGCCCATCGGCCAGCTACCTGCCATTCGGCGCAGGAGTACGCGTTTGTCTTGGTGAGGCTCTGGCAAAGATGGAACTCTTCCTCTTCCTCTCATGGATTTTGCAAAGGTTCACGCTAGAGATGCCCGCTGGCAAGCCTCTGCCCGACCTCCAGGGCAAGTTTGGTGTGGTTCTTCAACCTGAGAAATACAAGGTCATTGCTAAACTGAGAGCAGACTGGGAAAAATCTCCACTAATGCAACACTGCTGAGTAAATGTATGTATTTTAATACATTGGAAAAAATTATAAAGCCTACTATCCAGTATCACAAAAAGCATTTCTTGAGACAATATGAATCGATCTTCAGCAGTAATTGAATAAAGTAAAAGTAAAAATCCCATTCATTTTCTCCAAAGGGGAATTGATTTTTAACACAAACTTAAAAACTTTTAAACACAGACCTACTTTTGAGTTTTGAGGTTGTTAATCAATGGTATATGTTTTTTCGTTCAAGTCCTCAATCTACATTATATCAACTTTGTTTTATAATCGTGTTTAATGGTGTAAGTCCTGGTGGAAAACTACATTACCCATGATTCTGCAAAGAAAGAAAGCTACACCAGAGAATGACATCAATCTCCCTGCACTCTTACTTAAATAGGTGTGTGTGTGTATACTGTATATGCATTGTTTCTATAAACATCAAACAACATTTTATATTTATCCACCATTTTAATTTTAATTATGCTGTTTATACTTTCCCTCATTAAAGTGAAGTAGTGAGTCTTGTACCTTATGTATTTTTGTCCAATTTTCAAATACTTTTTTTGCATCAAATCAAAGTTCGTAATGTTTTGATTCACCTTGTAGCTGGATGGCTTGGTTCATGGTTTATAACTCTTTAAAAAAGACTTTTTAAAATTCCTATGGGAAAAATTAATGGCAAAAATACTTGCGTAACGAAGGCTACAAAAAACAAACTAAATAACTAAATCACTCACAGAAATTCATTGGCTTTAATAACTTTTTTTTATTTATTTGGAACATTCTTTGATACTCTTTAATTTGGTTGAGTCTTCTTATAAAATGCAGAAAATACAGTTTTATATAAAAAGAAAGTGACTACAGATACAAAACTAAAACGTAGTACCAGGCTTAAATCAAAGCTTAAGAAAAAGAAAAACCCAATTGGCTTGCAAAGCCTTCGTCACCTTCAAGCACTCCCACACTCACCGCTCAGTGTCAAAACAGTGCAATGACAACTTATTTAGGCAAAATGAACATCTCATTCACAGTGAGCTATCCAACATATAACTCAGATTTCCACTTTTATTCATATACCTTTGGTCTCAAACATCAAAGGACGAGAAAAAACAATGGAGACTAAAGCTACAGAAAGAACGACATGAGCATCGTCGCTGAAATCCTCACTGAACTGACTTCATAACCTCAAGATTTCCCTTAATCGGTCAAATATTTTGATAAATGCTTTAACTATGATGATATAACTGGTCTAAATAGTTCAGAACACTCAATATTTGGATTACTACTACATACATGTATTTGAAGGCATCATGTCTGTGTTGGAATCTGCCTCCCAAAACCAGTTTTTCCAGCTAACAAACTAGGAACCTAATTTATCAGCCACATCACGTTTGAAAGAAAATTAGCCTCCATTTACACAGGAACACTCTGATCTGGAGATCAACAGGGCCGAAAAGCCATCTGTGCCCAAGCTAAGACTCTATTAAAGGACGCCTAACTGCTAATCCAAACCAAAGGTCAAACAAACACAGTGGCCTGAAGAACGATCCACTTAAAGGAATCCACAATGACACTCTCTCTCAACACACACACACACAGTCTAGGGAATGCAGTGGAGCAGCTTTGGACAGTCTCACCGCCACAGAAAAATAAATCTCAATCTCATCATGAACCCGACATAAGTGCTACACTAGCATGACAGTAACCTTACCTGATCTGCTACAATAAAACGCACATTAAAAGATTATTTTATGTAATAAGGCCTATACATAAGTTACTGTTAGTGGTGCAAGAGTTCCCTTACAGTGTTAGGATACAAAAACAATTTTAAAGCACTATGGGAGAGTACAGAAAAAAAAAAATTAAGGCAAACAACAAACATATCTATGGAAGGCTTATCAAGTGATCCTTTCAAACAAGAAGTTACCATTGACCAAAAGGTTCACTCATACTGGCCCTTAATTATTTTATGCAGAACTTCTATGACACACGCATACTGTTCTCTTTAAGGCATATGAAAACTACTTGAATCAACAAAGGCACCTATTGTAAATGTACAAGCTGGGTTCAATCTATACACAAAGGTATTTTCAGCCTTCATTTGAAGAGTCTTTGCATAATGAACTTAAAAATGTATTACTATATAGTATGTGGATAAAGTCAGTTTTTGTTTGTGGATCTATCGAGTTTCTGCAAATAATCATGCTAAATATTGGATAGAGCCCGAGACCATGTACAATGATGAAACTAAATGGCAACCATACCCTGCTAGGAATTATTATTAATAATAATAAAAAAAACAGAATTATTTTCCTTCATTTTTCTGAATAGCATCATGCAGATACTCCAGATAAAAAGTTTTTTTTTTAAAGGACATGTAATAAAGACAAAAAACAACAACTGAATATTAAAGCTCTGAAGTGTTAGCAGACCGCTCAGTGGCTGTCTTTTCCATTTTTTTGTGCACAATATAATTTTTTAAGAGTACAATATAAACAAATTAAGATTAATGAAATCTGAAAAATGTCAGTCCCTCCACTGAAATTGCACCTCCATTCCCCCTAAAAATAAATCCATATGAATCAAGCGGTTTAATCCAAGTCTTCTGAAGAGACACCATCATTTAATATGATTAACAGATCTAATTTAGGCTTTTATTCACATATAAACATTGATCACCGAACATACAGTAACAGAAGTTCAAGTGTACTTGCTTGACACATAAGAAGCCTCATGGGCTCTTGCTGAAGCTTGATCGGTTGTCACATTCCAAGCAAGTACGTTTTAGCTTCTGTTTACCATATTTGATGTGCTCCACGTATGTGCATATGGATATATCATTTTATTAACTTTTTAAAGCGACATGGTTTTGGTGGAATGGTGTTTGGTGAAATCTCTCAGGCTTCATTAAAAATATCTTCATTTGTTTCAAAGATGAAAGTAACTAATGACAGAACTTTCATTTTAGGGTAAACCATCCCTTGAAGTATTTAAAAAGAATATTAAAAGTACGAATTCAGGAGCAAAAACCAGCACAAATCAATATCCCCAGACCTTGAGTGCCAACTTCATCTCAGGAGGCAATCAGCCCCCAAAAAACTGACAAAAAGCCTTAAATCTACAGGCATGTCACCCAGAGCTCGATAAGGCTATAAACGGGAGAATTTCCCCTGTGGTTTTGATCGCGACCTCTCTGTGAGGCAACAGACCTATTAACGTCTTTAATAGATTACCCTATTAATCCATAAAACCGTGAGGACTCACACATTAACGCCCTTTTAAAACTCTTTCGCATGCGCACACACACACACACACACACACACACACACACACACACACGAGAAGTACACCCAAAGTGACATAGCTGACAGTACAAACTGATGTATCTTAAGAAAGTAAAGGGAGACAGCAGTCTAAAGTAAGTCTCTGCTGGAACTGGCTGTGCTCAACTCTGGGGGTCCGTGTTGTTGCCGTGATGTGGACCGTCCTGTTCGTTGATAGTGTGCAGATGGAGGCAGACTGGAGGTCGCTGAGGCTCTCTGTGCTCCAGAGGCATGTCTGAGGCAGCCAGGCCCTGCTCCTCATCCCCGGGACCCAGAGGAGGGCTGCTGCCACGGGGGTTGCAGCTATCACAGAAGTCCTGCTCCTCGAGCTCCCCTCCATCCAAATGCCCCACAAGATCTTTCATCTCCTCCTCTTCCTCTCCGTCTTTCCCCTGGCTGCACACGCATACCTCAATCCCAGAGTCGCCCGTAAAGCGCCGGTGGCGCCCTGGAGTCTTGTCTTGGCTTTCGGGAGAACAGTCTTCTCCGGGTTCGGTCAGGTCCTCGCTGGAGCTGCCCTGTTTGACTGGGCTGTGTGAGGTAGCGCATGCCACCTGTTGGAGCTGCCTGTCCTCTAGGCTGAGGTACTGTGGTTTGTGGGCGTCTCTGGCAGGGCGGTGTGTGGTGGGAGAATGTGGCTGCTCTACGCAGGGTCCCGGGGAACAGTTCTCAGATGCAGGCGGGGCAGTGGGGCTGCACTGCAATGGAGGACAGTGCTCATCTGGTTGTTCAGAGCACAGGGGCTCCGAGCTGGTGGACTGGGCTGGCTGAGAGGCACTGTATGGAGGCGGGGGTGTCGGAGGTCTGTTTTCGACTTCCTCGTATGCGGGTAAGAGGTAGCCAGACAGGAACCCTGGAAAAGAGGAAAAGAAGATGATTTTGACAGCATTTGTTGACTGACCACTAAAGCACACATTACTTTCCATGAATAGATCTACTAGTTCTATAATAAACTGATTAATTTCCGATTCAGATATAATTGTAAGCTATTTACAGTTATTACTGGACTGCAAACTTTGTTTGAGCGGCTCATTATCCGCCGGTGTTTGGTCAGTGTTTATCATCAGTGTTTATTAACGGTGTTTATCATCAGCTTTTACTGTGAACCGAACCACTCTGAGACACTTCTTCTCAGAGTGGTTCGGTTCACAGTAAAAGCTGATCCACACAAACTCCATCTCTGTTTGAGTCAGGGATGGAAATTAGCACCCGCAACCAGCCAGATGCGGGTGATTTTGTGTTGTGGTGGGTAAACTCGCTTCACCTACCGGCCACCGTGGCGGGTAAATAAAAATAGCATACTGTTTTACCCGGACGGCGGACACTTTTAGAGGAGGCACACCTTCAAACAAAAATGTGGCGTTACATCGCAGGCGTAGAGGTCTGCAGAGAAAACATCATGGTGCGTTCACACCAGACGAGAATAGAGCGTCTGGCGCGAGTGATTTCATTGTTAAGTCAATGCAAAGACGGCGCGAATGAGGTGTAGAGCGCGCCGTGGTAGATGCGAATACGCCTCATTCGCGCGGCAAGTTCGAGCGTCTGACGCGTTCCGCGCGCATGATTTTATTGAGTGCTTTTGTGCATTCACGCTTTTGACGCGAATTCGCATCTGCCGCCCGAGTTGAAAAATCTGAACTTTGGCGTCAATTCGCGCCGCGTTAACCAATCAGGAGCCTAGCTGCTGTCACGTGGTGAAGTATCTGGATGCTTCAATAAATTATTTTGTACTAAATGCCTGATGTGGTTCTAATGCACAACAAAGCAAATATTTTATCACATAAAACTTGATTTCAATATATGAGACATATTCATTTTGTATTGAATGCTATTTATTCCATTTCATATCTAGATTATATTAAATATTATTCTAATGTAAAGGCAACCAATATACTATAGCTCATAAATCCGTGTCTGGAGAGTGTTGTGTGAGAGAAAAAAAAAATCACAGGACAGGTTAATTACTTTTGGAGGCTGGCTCAATTTATCATCAAAACAAAAATAAATGACAGATTAGGTGGATGAGGCCGAGGGTGAGAGAAAGAGAAAATGTCAGTATTTCATTGAGACTTGAGATTAAATAAACTGCTTAAGTATTCTTGTAGTATTAATTTTCACATGCAGTTACACATTGTCGGTTAAAAACAAGAAAGTGGCTGGTAAAAACATTGAGTGGCTGGTAGATTTTGAAATCCACCAGCCACAGTGGCCGGTGGACAAAAAAGTTAATTTCCATCCCTGGTTTGAGTTTAGGGCGCTTTAACATGAATTTGGGAACATGTGCCAAGTAACCATTTTTTCAAACTTGTAATGAGAAGCGCTCATCAACAAAGGAGTAGATTTAAAGGCTGCCTGCTAGGTTTGTTGCGGTAGTCAGCCATACACTGATACATTACTTGCCCTCGGCGGGGTAGTCAGCCATGCACAATACATTACTTTCCCACGCGGCACCGCCCCCGTTGGAGTTTAGTTTTTTTTATTGAAATAAAAAACATTTAGTTCAGTTGGACAACAGATGCTGCAATTATAAACTGAAATTGTCTGCTGTGCTCCATACAGCATGAGCTGCAGAGTCACAGCACACTGACCAGACAATGTTGGACGATTTAGTGCACAACAGATCCAGAGAATCATTGACAAATATCTTATCATGTAAATGTGCGGTCAGTATCGCCACTTCCTATACACAGAGTACGCGTGATCGCGAATTCGAAAGTGAAAAGCGAGCGTGCGTTCAAAAGCGATTTCTATACTCCGCATATAGATAGCAGCTCCCTGATACTCGCAAATTATAGGCCTATAGTATATACGCATGATTGCGAATTAAATTTACAATCATCTAATAAATTATTTGACAGAACTAGTAGACAGAAAGTAACGTTGGATTTAGATGCATACAGGACAAGCAACTTTAAATCATTGATTTTAAACTTTGCTGAGCTATATACAGTTGGTCACTATGTTATATTCACTGTGCTATATGTAAAATTAGTGTTACATGTTTTTTTTGTTGAGAAAATAGGATTCATAGTCCGCATACTTAGTATTTACTTCCATTTTCTTCTTTGTGAAATATACAATAATAGGATTACAGAAGCAATAAGTTGCTATCTAAAGTTTAAACAGTCACACTTTAGTTTAGGGTCCAATTCTCACTATTATCTAACTATTAACTATGACTTTTGCATCAATAAACTCCTAATTACTGCTTATTAATAGTTTGGTAGTTGTTAAGTTTAAGTATTGGGTAGGATTAAGGGATGTAGAATATGTTCATGCAGAATAAGGCATTAATATGTGCTTTATAAGTACTAATAAACAGCCAATATCCTAGTAAGTTGCATGCTAATAAGCAACTAGTTAATAGTGAGAATTGGACCCTAAACTAAAGTGAAACCGTTTAAATCTCTTTATTTTACAGGTTTATTTATTTTTTAAATTCATATCGTATTTTATTGATTAAAGGGAGAATGACAGGGGAATGAAGAGGGTACTGACTGAAGTAGAAGGGTAGAGAGGAGTAGTTATGGGCTTCTCTGTAAGCGATGAGATTGATCTCGTGCTGCCGCTGCTGTTGCTGTAGTCTGTGTTTGGCTCGGCGGTGGTGACACACACAGCAGCAGCCCAGAATGATAATGAGCGTCAGGACCAACCAAAACCCTGATGAAAGAGCACAAAACACAATACTGTTAAGTGTTAATGAGTAAAGAGAACATCATGTTCTAACCAGGTGCAGCACACCATAAATCAAAATTATTCCATGTTATTTGAGTTGTTGTCAACAGTGCTGACTGACAAGATGCTTTATAAGTTGCTTGGTTTCTTTTTTGAATGCATCTTGTGGCTCCACCCACAGTGTACTTTTTTTAGTCCGACTTTTTGATTGGCTGCAAGCTGTATACACATATCATTCAAAAGTTTGGGGTCAGTACTATTTTCTAAAATGTTTTTGTCTCTTATGCTCATCAAGACTACATTTATTTGATGAAAAAAACAGTAATATTGTGAAATATTTTTAATAAGTTAAAGTAACTTTTGTATTTTAATATATGTTAAAAAAATATTTTTCTTGTGATGGCAAAGGCTTATGATCCTTCAGAAATCATTTTAATGTGCTGATTTGGTGCTTAAGAAACATTTCTTATTATTATCAATGTTAAAAAACTTTTTTTTTTGTGGAAATCTTGATAAATGTTTTCAGGATTCTTTGATTAATAGAAATCAAAGAAATCTCTTCCAAGCTTTATAATGGGAGTGAATAGAAAATGAGATTTTGAAGCCCAAAAGCTAGTGATTACAGTTTATTAAGTTATAATTATGGATTTTTGTCTTACAAAAATGCATCGCTTCGGTTCAGAAGGCCTTTATTAACCCCCTGGTGCCGTATGGATTACTTTTATGATGGATGGATGCGCTTTTTTGGGCTTCAAAATCTCAGTTATCATTCACTGCCATTATAAAGCTTGGAAGAGTCAGAATATATATATATTTTTTCCGATTGTGTTTGGCTGAAAGAAAAAAGTTATATACACCTAGGATGCCTTGAGGGTGAGTAAATTATGTGATAATTTTTATTTTTGGGTGAACTAACCCTTTAGTATCATATACAAAAAATCTATAAAATGCAACCATAATGGTACAAAAATGCATTATGTCAACCTAACAATCTGGCACCAGATCCCAGGAGAAGAATGTACTGGACATTAGGTTGGGATGCTCATCACTCAACAGTAAGAGCCATGCAGGTCCATGTCATGTGAGACAAGTGTGTGAAACTTTGGCCCAAATAAAGCAGAGACCTTTTCTGGCAGAAGGGGAGGGGGGTTAAGAAATTTAAGGCAGCTGTTTACAGGATCTGGTCTGATCCGGTTACACTGGATTTGTGTCTGCCCGGGTCGCATGTATTTGGCATGATGTACAAAACCCAAAGTGCAGCCCCTTGACTCAGCAGACGATGTGCTGCAATTACCGTGAAGATGAGGTTAGTCCTTAGTTATTAAAATAGATGGTACACCAGAGGGAGAGGGGTAATTTGATAACACAGAAACACAGCCAACAGGCGTGAACAGGGCAGAACAACAACTAGATCAGGGCCAGCCAATGACACAAAAGTTAAAAGCAACACACACAAATCAGACCCATTATTAAAAAACTGAGAAAGATGGTTAAAAGGAATTCTTTAGGACAAAAAAAAAAAAACCAAAAACTGGCATATCCATTGTACTGTAAGCTCAATTACATATGTGCTTGAAATTACTGCAGATCTGATTCCAGTCAGATGCGCGATTGAATACCTAAATCTAATTACTATTTACGGTAACAAAACAATTACAGTGTCAAACATGAGCCGTGCCTTGGGTGTCTTTTCCCAAGGCATGTCGCCTCTTGTCCAACCCATTGCTGGCATCATAAGCTTGGGCTGCTTACTGCAAACAACTTGAGAACAAATGCAGGTGGGCATGTAACACCCCTAAATGCTATTACAACCGTATTTCAATGCTGAATCATTTCTGAATCAGATGTAATCTTATTTAAATAACTAGACAGACTGCCTTTTGCATCAGAGTTTACAGTGTTCTGGAATTGGGACCACATCCAGGCCGATAAGTGTGTTATATACAAACCAATACAGACTAGATATGTGCCGATATACGGTAATACAATATATCACGATACTGACCATGCACGGTCAGTATTATTCAAATTTTTAGAATGCATTTTAAGAATACTTTTCAATCAACCGGTAAAAATGTACAACAAAGAGGCATGCACACACTCAGATGTAAACAAGCCCAACACGGAAAAGAAGCGCATGGCAGAACGAGTGAAGGAGACGAGCTGAATGAAAATACACATTCACTCACTGACAGCAGATGGCACTGATGGAACAGCAGAAATGCAGCCATTACACTGGTAACAGCTGTGCTACTTTCTGTTTCTGAACAGTATTTAAATATTTTAAACAGCCATTCAGATGGTGTTTGTCACAGCACCAAATACTTAAACAGTTAATGCATTAACTAAGGTTAACTAATGAGACCTTTGGTGAATGATTACCTATTGTTCTTTATAATTCTTTTTTGCACTTTAATCTGTTTGAAACATTTGTTTACTTTATACATTTGTGTATTGTTTTATTGTATTTCAATGTTCAGTTCTTTTTGTAATAAGAAAAAAAGTGTTTACATTTTTTTGCAACTTATTGCAATATGATAAAAGCTTCAGCAATTATCGCATCATGAAAGTTTGATACCGTCACATGGCTAATACAGACTTGAAGTAACTAAATACAAGTGCAGAGCAACTGGAGGATGTTTCAGACACTATAGCGAACAGCATTTACACCATGGACTGACCTGATCTTACAGCATGTATAGGCAGCAGGGACTCAGATACTTACACCACACCTCGTAGTAATAGCTGCAACACTGAGATTCTCCACAGCAGTGGCCCGAATCACAGAAGTAGCTCTGGTTGTTCACTCCTACACAAAGCAGCCGGTTCTGCAAAACCCAAAAGAAAATATAAGCATATAATCAGCACAAATATCAGAGGAGCTTAGTGCACCAAAAACCTTTTTCATGGCACATAAAAAAAATAATTTCAATGCAAAATAGGGCCAAAAGAATAGATTATGTTGTAGTTCTTTTTTCTTTTGGACATATCTGGCATTTCCTTGCATTGCGATCTGCCGCTCAATTGTATTAAAGAGCTTTTTATTATCACATGTATGTAAAGACATCCTGATGTCACTGTGTCATAATAAGTAAATAAATGTCCCCAACACAGTGACATCAGGCTGTCTTTACATACAGGTTAAAAAGCTCTTTAATACAATTCAGAGGCAGATCGCTACGCAAACCCTTGAGTGTTCAGACTATATTATACGGAATGCAATTCAAGTTACATTTGCTAATTAAATTAATAAAATGCTGATTCCTGTGGTCTCGTTTTACCTGTCTAAACCCCAGGAGAAAAGGCATGATAGGCGTCTGATAGGAAAATCAACACAGCAGAGACAGAGTTTTGTTACACACAGGGCTGCAAAGACCAAGAGAGAGACAGAGATAAGGTCGGGCTCGGGCCACCCACCACCCACACATGGTACAGTGCGACATGAACTGCCCCCTTTATTAGCCGGAGGGTCTCGTTTTAAACACACATACATACACAGCCTCCCTCATGGCATTTCAGACCCAGCGAGCGCTGCCAGGGAATGCAAGTAAACAGGATGAACAGACAAGCGGTCTGTGCCTCCCTCCCTCTCACATACACAAAGTAATGATGACAACTGCTGGCCTCACAGTTGTCTCAAGCATTGCGCTAGATACAAATGAAAGTAACACTGAAATCTTGCCTGAGGAACAATAATCTTTACTCGAGTAAAAATGCCATATAGGCGCCGATCCCGTGGGTGCTCGGGGGCTCAAGCCAGTTCTCTAGTTATTTTATTAATAGTTATTTTTGAGTTAAGTGCTTATTTTAAATAGATATGTATTTAGTAAACCGCTACTGATCATCAGGTAGGCCTATAGCCTATCATGGATAGAATGTACTTTCGTTTGGTTGGTCAAATGTATTTGCAGTGCATAATAACTTAGCCCAGTTATTATTTGCTCATGGAAACATAGGTGAATAAAAATGTGTTTTATATTTGGTTGGTAATTTATTTGCATGTTTGTTTCTCAATGCGTTGGGTTGAGATAACGATTAACGATAACAAGCAGCTGAAAGCTAAAGTCTGAGTATTCAGGGCTGCAAACCTGTGTAAGGACGGACATAGTGCCAAAAAGTTCATAGAAGGGATGGCAACTGGCAGCAAACAGCTGAGTTGAAGGTTAATTAGTTAATTATTACACATTCCTAGTCACAGAGAGAGCAACAGCAAGTGTTCCAGATAATATTTTTAGTGATAATTTGTAAAGCATTCAACCAATGAACCATAAGTGATGCAGACACTTTAAGATTGAATTCCAGACATATCCCATTCATGTCTACTAAAGGTATACACATTTGATCAGCTTTTGCATTTCCTGGGAAAAGTACCTATAAACTTGGGTGTTGCTGGCACTAATGCTCTACTGCTGTAGCTACAGGCACACGTTTGAATTATGAGGTGTATGGGTGTTGCGGTTAGTCCACATTATGGTACATATGCTGTTTACAGAGCTTCTTAATTTTAACCTTTAAAGAGATAGCCTAGTTCACCCAAAAATGAAAATTCCATCATCATTTAGGCCTACTCACCCTTGTGTCGTTTCAAACCTGTATGACCTATATCTTCTGCGGAAGATATTTTGCAAAATGCTGGTAACCAAAATTTTTTGGTGACCATTGACTTTCATTGCATTGATACAAAAACAGACATTTCTCAAAATATATATTTTGTTTCGCAGAAGAAATAAAGTCATAAAGGTTTAGAACAAAATGAGAGTGATTAAAAGTTAAAAGAACTTTCATTTTTGGCGATCTTTTAAATAACATAGGGCCTTTCTCCTTGTCTCTTTCCCCCCATATTTATGGTTCAATCTTTATACCTACCAATTTTTTTTTTTAAATCCTTATGTAGAAAATGAATGGGAAAAACAATTGTGGAACCAAGTCATTGAAAATGTAGGCGATCACTTTTGCACTGTACTGATCATGGTATTTAAAAGAAATTCATAAGCTCTCACAAAAATATAAAATGTGCACGTCTGTTAAATTTTTTTTTTAAAGTTTGGTGTTGTATCTCTGATATGTATAGGGCTACAACTGTTCAGAGGTTTGGCTCAGTAAGTTTTCTTCCTTTTTTTTTTTTACTTTTATTGAGCAATGACACATTAAATTGGTCAAAGGTGACAGTAAACACATTTATAATACAAAAGGTACAACATTTTTATTTCAAATAAATGTTGTTCTTTTGAACATTCTATTCAAAGAATCCTGAAAGAGAAATTCTCATGTGACACTGAAGACTGGACTGGAGTAATGGCTGCCAAAATTCAGCTTTGACGTCACAGGAATAACTACATTTTAAAATAAACTGAAATAGAAAACAGTTATTTTAAATTGTAATAATATTTCACAACATTACTGTTGTATAGTTTTTTTCAATAAACTATTGGTGAACATAAGAGAATTTTTATTTTTTATTATTGTACCTATCCAACTTTTGAACAGTACTGTGTCATTGAAAATGGGGGTCTCATGTGAAAAAAGGTTGTGATGTAGTGATTGCTTTTCATTATCTAATATAATCAAGTCCCACTCTAAATGTTCAACATTTCACAGGCATAAAGCTTGTGGTTTCAGTCATGTTAGTAGATCTAGTAGATCAGCCTATCATTCAGGCACCTACGTTCCCTCAGAGATAACACCTGTGGAGAGCAAACAGCTCACTGCCTGACCTTGATCTACCACCTGTCACAACAGAGAGAAGAAGAGCATCTTCAAACACACACGCCTTTCACAGTCAAGGCCAGAATGAGAACAGTCAAAACAGCCTCAGCCCATCATCAGCGAAATCTTTAAATATGTGCTTTTTCTAGACAGCCAATTTTAAAGTGTCAATCACAGTGAGTCAACTGTACAATTCGAAATGTCACTAAACAATTAGTTTATTGTAGAACGATCACAACCCTACAGGCTACAGATAAAACATGGCTCGGCCTGAAAAATCCCCTATTGTACACCCTTACTTCATCAGCAGCAGTAATAATAGACAGGCCTTTTTAATTATTTACCTATCACTCAGAAAGAATAACATAAGGGACGAGACAAAGCGTTATGAATCATTCATCTGGTTGTGTATTTACCTGTAATCCCAGCCAGATTGAAATTGAACAAACTGGCCAAAGAATTGTATTCTATTTACAGATTCATATTTCTTGACGTTTTTGAATTGGTCTAAATGAGAATCTAAATTAAGGTAATTTAGGTTGCAAATTGTTGACTTTAAGAAAGACTTTTAAAACTTAATACAAAGACATTTTATCACTTACTCAAAAGCAGACAAGGCCATACACTAACAACTGTAACACTTTCCTTTCTGTCCTTTCTTTAACAGGCGCACATTTGAGATTAGAAAAATAAAATATTGCAGTATAAATATTTTTTTATATATGTACATATATACATATACACCTACACACACACAGTACTGTGCAAAAGTCTTAGGCACGTTAGTATTTTCAGCCCCTCTCTTGCTGTAGTATGCAAGTAGGAAATATCAGTTTACATTTCCAAACATTCCTTTTTCCATTAATTGTAATAATCCAGTGAGATTTTTGTATGCTCAAGAAGTCTGAGAACAGCCGGTATGATCCACAGAGATCTGATCTCACCATCATTGAATCTATCTGGGATTACATGAAACAGAAAAAACCGAGACAGCCTTTAACCAAAAGAACTGTGGCAACATCTCCAAGACGCTTGAAGAAACCTTCCTGCAATGCTACAGTACTGTGAAAAGTTTTAGACACTTAAAAATGCTGTAAATGTGAGGATGCTTTCAAAAATAATGTCATAAATAGATTTTAGTTATCAATTAACTTCTATTAACTAAATCAAATCAATATTTGGTGTGACCACCCTTTGCTTTTAAAACAGCTTTTGTCTGAGGTACACTTGCACATATTTTTCAGTTAGCTTTGCAGGAAGGTTTCTTCAAGCGTCTTGGAGACTATAATGAAAATGCTAAGGTGGGTAAGATTTTTGCACAGTACAGTACATATATGTATAAGTACAATGTAAACATGTTGTACACAATAAGTGCATTGCATCAAATTATTAATTAAAATGTTAGTATAGTAGACATTTAACATGATTTAATATATTACAGACACTTATAATACAGTGGGTCCAAAAATCATAGCATCTTATATTATTATACACAATCTAGATTTTTTTTACAAGTTTTACCAAAAACAGTTTACACTTAAAAGTCATGATCTCTAATGACTTGACACTGTTACTGTATTACTCTACATTTAGTCAAGCTGACAACTTTAAAAGCCGTTTAAAGAACATAGCTAAAGCTGTTCAGATCAGACCTCCAGGCAGTCAACTTCCTAACCTTTGTGATAAATAAAAACTGAATCATTTGGTTTAGAAAAGGACGAAAAAGATCAAGTATGAACCATGTAAAATATGTTTATGGCATGTCAGACTCAAAAGTCTAAGTAATCTTTGTTGTCACCGCTGTGGACACAAGCACACAGGCTGTGCCTCAAAACCCAATGAGCTGACTAATTAGACAGCATTCTGGGCACCATTACAACGTTTGACGCACTTAAGATGCATTCCAATGCTGTCTTACTAGGCAGCACACTAGGTTTGGAGACGCAGCCACAGTCTACCGGCTAGGCTAATGATGCTAACAGTGTCTTTACCTCGGTCAACGCTGCCTCCACTGACACCGAACCGACTGGTCCAATAACCGCGTTACTTACAAACAACCCCATGCCCAGTTTTATATATACAACCCCCCACATTCCGCCCTTTCCCGTGGCTTTCGACACATCTGCGACACGGCAGGACATTCAGCTAGCCTGCGAGCTAGCTTCAGTTACGATTCTTTCTTCTTTCTTTCAACTCTCTCACAAACTCCGAAAGTCTCCTCAAGCCCCGCCCCCTGCTGCTATTGGTCCGTTCAAGCGAACACTTCCTGCTTTGACAAATAAACGTAGTCACGATTGGTTGATTTATCTGTCGTTTAAAAACAACCAAAGAGACGGTAGGGCGTGACTTTGTTGTTCTTTACCAGCTGAGAACAAGAAATCAGCTGACATTGAATTTAAAGGGGCAGGATATGACATATTTCCCTATGCAAAAATGAAAGCAAGCAAGCAAGCAAGCAAGCAAGCAGATAGATAGACAAAATGAATACAATATTATTTTTCATGAATTTTCTAATATTTTTAAATTACTTTATTAATTCTTATATTAATAAATGTAGCCTATATAAGTATGGATATTAATAATTGAATTTCAGTATACTGACTGAAGTTTAACCAAATCTTTTCTTGGATGAATCCAGTAATACATATAGAATATTAAGAATACTAGAAACAGTCCAGAACAATTTATTAAAAGTGTGTAACATAAGACAAAGATGCTGGATTCAGGTATCTCAAGTGTTTTCTTTTCACTAAAGTCAAACTTTTGATTTTCATTTTAATATAGTGAAGCGTGTCTTTGCATGTCCGTGTACAAAAGCAACTGTTGCTGGCCAGTCTGGAAACATTTCAGGCAAACAAATATTAAGTAACTACTAGTCTAATTATTTATTGTTAGAAATAGTTAGGTTTTTAAAATTAATTTTCTTCTTTTCCCAACTTCACCAGATGCCAATCTACAGACACAGGGTACATCTATACTGCCTTCAAAATGTCAGCAAATGAAGGCATGGTATTAGATATGTTGTGAAAACACTGGTTTCTACAGCCTTCATATCCTGCCTGCGAAGGCAGCATGGTTCAGGTTTCGGACACAGCAAGAGTATCATCGAGAAAGTGACAACCACTGATCCCTGCAAAATCAATGTAATCTCTCTCAAGTAAACTTGTTTGTTTTGTGCTAAATGTTATTTTGACAGCCATAGCTAAGGGCTCTTATACTTGCTTTATTCCTGCGACATATCTTTCAGACTTGGGACTGCGGCTTCTTAGGTGAGACTCTTTGAACTGAGCCAAGTTAAAAGGAACAAAAGCAAACAAATCACATTGTTCTTTCAGGAATTTTTCTTGTTCACTGGCTTTCATTTCTCTCTTTTTTCAGCACTTCTCTCATTCAGAACAGAGAAGTCAATGGATCCTTACATCCCAGCTTGACAAGTTAGGAGGATACAAGCTAATCCCCTAATCTGTCTATTCTCCCGTGCAGTGCCAAAGGGGGAGAGGTACCCAGCACAAGTAATCCTATAGAAAAAACAATAGGATTAGACCCCTGCTCTTGGAGTGACAATCAGATATCTACTGACTGATTTGCAAAGTAGGGTCGAGTTTCTTCAAATTAGCTTTTTTTCCCTCCTCTAGGGAAAAGGTGCCTTTCATTAACTGCTGGTGGGATTCCTTTAGGACAGATGCTGGAGGTCCGCATGAAAGGCATGTATTCTTCGCTTCCAGCACACAAGTCCTGCTTCTCCCACAGCAGAGGCTGAAAGGTGGGGACGCACCATTGGCCTGGGCAACCCCTCCACCCCTTTACCCTCTGTCAACTCCTTTATGATTCGAACTCTAATGCCTTTAAAAAGTGTTTGACAGATGGATCAGATTCCACTGAGGATACATGTAGCAGATCAACAAGACTAAATGATGAGGGCAATGTGAGATATGCTGCCTGTTTGCAGCCATGCAACATGTTTTCTTTTTATTATTTTTTTCTGTAACACTTAATGAGATTAATGTTTTGGGCAGTTTTTGCTTGTTGATATATATATATATATATATATATATATATATATATATATATATTTGTACAATTGATACATAAAACCTTGAAAACTGGCTATTTTACTGACAGCTAAGTGTCTAGCCTACACTAAAAAATAAAGTTTCCAAATGAGGGTTTCGCAGTGATGCCATTGAAGAACCATTTAGGGTTCACCAAAGAACCTATAGAGAACAGTTCTTAAAAGAAACATTCCCATTTTTAAGGAATTTTCCATATTGATTTTTCACAGCGGTTTTGTCCATATTTTGAATCAAGCATTACATTATATGAAATGATGTAATTTATATATATATATATATTTAAATATATACTTTTTAAAAATTATTTAGGGTATTATTCAAATATTATATTGTTATGTAATGGTTCAGATGTCCATCATTTTGGGCTGTGAAATAATATTGCCTATACAATAGATGTGTCTTCCTTTTGACCTTTAGATGGCACTATTGGTGTAAAATTACCCCCAGAATCCTCTGAGATGTCTGTGTGGGTTGAAGCCTATTCTTGGGTGTGTGATTAGCCACTGTGACACTTGATACTTAACCACAAGCTAATGCAGCTTGGGAAAGGCATCATCCTGTAGGAAACAAGGGTCACCTGCGCTGAAAAGGAAGTCCTTGATTCCATTTAAGTCCAGTGAACTTGGCCAAGCAAAACATGATGTGACTCTTAACTTCATCTCACATTACTTTTCCAATCCGGTCCATAAATAAAGAGAACACTTGTGGATTATTGTGCAAGTGAATAATGTGTGAAATTCAGCTAAACCTACTATGTCATTTTGTGGCAGAATAGTCATTCTCATATTAATAAAAAGTCAAGACAACCCTGAGAAATGTGAATGGAGAATGTGAAGCAATGACGTTCTTGTTCATGTATCTACGAAATATATAAAACATGATAAGACTAAAAAGACAGGCTCTCACCCTCCTAAAATCTAAGGTAACATGACGGATACTGTTTCACCTGCTAAACACTTTGCTCTCCCAACCAAATAGCTTGGCTTCCCACTATTCTTCCAACATCTGCCGGGAGAATCACTGTGTAATTGAGGCTTTAAAAAGGCATGCCAGAAAGCTCACCAGATGCATCATTACTGTGTTCGGCCTGTCTTTTGAAAGCTAAATTTACGAAGCGGTCTTTGCTCAGGTCTCTTTCGGTGGTTTGCACTCTTTACTCTGAATGCTGTTGAGATGCTAGAGCATGTGTCCAGCATGGGAAAAGATGCTGTACAAACAAACAAAACAACTGGAGCTATGAATTAAAACAAATTAGATCATAATGCTTTCAAAAATGTCATTAGCGGTTTCTCGTGACTGCTTCTTCCCGTCCAGATGTTTCTTCAGAGATCAAAGCAGGAATGTGCTCTAATGGTGTAAACGTATTTGTTGTGTAATACTGGTAGATAATGTAAACCCTGGTGCAGGAAAAGTAGACCTTTTGTCCTCAAATTGCCAGTATGATTTTACAGTGATTTGTGCAGGTGCAAAGCGTGTAAAGTGGTTTTAATCCCATGTCTTTGTAATCATTGCCTTTTTATATGCCATCATTTCCAATCTGTGCTGCGTGCACAGGCAAGTGTAAAGATAAAGTGTAAATAATCATGTTATGCCTGACGTGACATTGCTTGGTCTGTGGACAATGTTTGTGTGTGTTCCTTTGTGTGCTGTAGGTTCTGAAAACGTAATCCTCAAATCCCCTTCCCATAAGTCGCCTCCAACCCCTCCTCTGAACTCGGAAGGTCTTCATACCTTTGTCAGAAACTGTGAGCTTGTGGCTCACCCACAGTTCCTCAAAGGGCTTTTGGTAATGACCTTGCGCTAGCTAGCTAGCTAGATAGATAGACATAATAGATAGATAGACAGACAGACAGACATGATAGACAGACATGATAGATATAGATATATATAGATAGAAACATGATAGATAGATAGATAGACAGACAGATAGATAGACATGATAGTTAGATAGACAAACATGATAGATAGACATGATAGATAGATAGACAAACATGATAGATAGATATAGACAGACAGAGAGGCAGACATGATATATAGATAGATAGATAGACAGACAGACAGACAAACATGATAGATAGAGATAGATAGACAAACAGACGGACAGACAGACATGATAGATTGACAGAGAGACAGACAGACATGATAGATAGATTGATAGATAGACAGACAGACAGAGAGACAGACATGATAGATAAACAGACAGAGAGACAGACAGACATGATAGATAGACAGACAGAGAGACAGACAGACATGATAGACATAGATAGATATATAGATAGAAACATGATAGATAGATAGATAGACAGACAGACAAACATGATAGATAGAGATAGATAGACAAGCAGAGAGACAGACAGACATGATAGATAGACAGACAGAGACAGACATGATAGATGGATAGATAGATAGACGGACGGACGGACGGACGACAGAAAGATAGATTGCACTCTTCCCTTCTATTTATCAGATAACATCATGAAATCTGGAAAAGAAAAATCAAGAAAAAAAACTAATACATAGAACATATTGTATAATGGCAAATTATCTCATTTTGCATGCTTTTACAGAAGCCACACAGTGTAAAATTCCCTGCCTTCATTTTAGGAATATCCACAATGTCATCCTCAATATGAGTGAGTGCCCATTTCCTGCTGAGCTCCAAACCTATGTATTAATATTTATTGAAGTGACCACGTCTTTCAGTCCCATGAGGCCATATTTCCTGCATGATTGTACAATATCTGCACGGAGGTGTAGGCATTCCTTTTATCCTCAGTGACAAAATCAGCTAATGGATTGTCCCACATTGCATATGATCTAATTTATTCCGTGATTGACCATAAATCACATCAAGCCCAACATGAGCCCCACCTTTTAAGAATTACATTGAGCAGCAAATGTGCATTGTCTGGGGTTGATAAACGTTTCTTCTCAGTAGTTTAAAAACAAAGTATGGTGAGCATACGTTTTGATAGATGTGCATATGTTGATTTAAAGAGATAGTTTGCCCAGAAATTAAAATTCTGTCATCATTTATTCATGCTGAATAACACCCCTCATATATGTTATGACATGGCTTCTGAAGATTTGGAATATAGAGCATGAGCACATATGGACTGACCTTTGGTACTTTTTAT